GAAGTTTTTTATTAACACAAGTAGAGCTATATAAGGTTACTTTTAGTTTATTGGATGAAATAGCCACTGACCTCTTGGTTGCTTCAGTACTGGTACAAAATTTGAAGACAATTCCACTGCATTGTTTGAAATTATTTGCTTTTGCAGCTGTGCACCTGTGGTGAACATGCATGTCAATATTGTACTATTTTAGGTACGTGCATTATCTGAATGGTATTAGGTTACTCGTGCACACAGACAAGGACTGTTTTGTAATTTCTCTTGCAGTCTGGTAAGAAAAAGCTGGATTCTAAGTGGTGTTGGTGAAGGTGTTTGCTGGTGGTGGTGTGCTGGGCGGATGATGATGAGGTGTGGCTATGACTTATGGGGGTTTGCGTGATCTCCATCATTACGGGTGGCCTCTGCTCTATTTTTGCACTGAATTCAGGGTATCAGATTTACCCAGACAGCAGTGTGTGTTCAGTGTGAGCGTGTGTGTAGGTAGACTGCGTGTTAGTCCGGGCCAGAATGTGCTGTTTGATGAATGGGCTGAGAATAAATGAGGCATGAGTTGCCACAGGTATGTTGTGTGTGCATATGTTTACAAAGCATCACAAGAGATGGTCACTTTAACTTCTTATTTTTATAATATGCTACATAATATGTCAAATATGGGATACAGGAAATGGCAACTGCATGCTGGTCCTGGAATGACTGCCTTCTTGCATGGGGCAGGGCTGCAGATGAATACAGAGCAGAGCCAGACACAGCCACGCACATCTGAAGCTAAAATTCACCTTTACTTTTAATAAACCAGGATTAGGAGTCATTCTATTCCAATTGACTCTTCGCAGGGAGTTTGATTAACAGGCAATCTGACCAATCATAATGGCAAATCTGCTATTTATGTCCAACAAACAAACCAGACAGGAGAGTAGATTAACATCGGTGGTCTTCAAAATTGGTATATTTACGTCTTTCCGCAGTTAAAACAAGATACCTTCTGATGTTCATTCATGTTTATTTCATGCTATAACTAATAAAGAGGAAGAGATGTAAGAGAGTAACTAGAGCGATCTGTAACAACACATTTAAATAGCAACAAAACTGTATTTATTGTTTGAATTTCTTACAAAATGACAATTTGAAAGCTGAGACTTTGTTTCATACCAAAAGTAACCTGATCTAACATGGCCTGTCAGATATAGCAACAGTAAGGAAGGGGGGTGGGGTCTTTGCGAAGGGTCAATTATACACGCACCAAAAAAATAAATAAAAAGGTTCTTTAGCGGTTCTTTGAGGTGCTTTAGAGCACCACTGCCATACAGTGAACACATTAACCCTCTGTATAGTTTTTTAAAGGTTCTCTTAGTCTCTTAGTTTGTCACGTCACTTTTTTTTTTTTTAGTTGGGGAACGGATTAAAAAACGACATTAAAATATAGTGTATTTCTTGAAGATAACGTTGTTCTCAATCTTTTTGTCCACAAGACCCCCCTATAAGGAAATAAAAGGTTCTTTAGCGGTTCTTTGAGGTGCTTTAGAGCACCACTGCCATACAGTGAACACATTAACCCTCTGTATAGTTTTTTAAAGGTTCTCTTAGTCTCTTAGTTTGTCACGTCACTTTTTTTTTTTTAGTTGGGGAACGGATTAAAAAACGACATTAATATATAGTGTATTTCTTGAAGATAACGTTGTTCTCAATCTTTTTGTCCACAAGACCCCCCTATAAGGAAATATTCCAGGGCCCCCACACAAGACTTTTTGACTGTAGTAAATTCCCATTCATAGCAAACATATGAATGGGAATCTAAGGAGGAGAATGGGGTTCCTCTTTGGGTTCTATGATATGTTCCAGGAATGGCCACAATATACAGTATGAATTTTCTTATTTCTTTATGGTAAAAATTGAGTGATTTCAATGATTTTGATAATGATTTACTGCATTAAAAGTTGCCTGTTGCTTTATAAGAGAAGTCATGGCAATTGCAGATATCTATTTACACTGCTACCATTAATTTCAATCAGTCTCTGCCAACACATATTTTCTGTATTGTAACTATTTTAAAATTCACCGTATAATACAAGCTCGGTTAATGGATTTAATAACTATTAAAAAATATGGTATTATAAAAATAATTGCTGCTCTATAAAATATACTGATTTGGTAATTATATTAATTTTTATTGTACTTTAAAAATAATTTTAATAATAAAAATGATATTTTATTTAAATATATTTTGCATGAAGTGTTTTACCAGTTAGCTGTTTAATTTCAGCTTTTCAATAAGCAAAATTGCATTATTTATTACAAAGTAAGTTTTTGACTTCCTTGCTGTTAGAGATCACATCTGTAAACTTACATTACAAATTACCTTTATGTTTCTGGGTGGATCTTGACCCTTTTAATACAGAGGACATGGAGACGTATGGAAATAATTTGGAAAAGCTGCTAATTGTGTCATAATATCTGTGATTCAACTGCAAAATATGATGCAATCCATACGGTATTCCTCGAATCCATATTACTCACCGGGCAGCACATGTTACTGGAATTTGTTGTGGCCCAGCAAATTGTTACGAAAAAAGACCTTTCCAGTTATGTGATTTAATTCTAAGTAGTTCTTTGTGTGTTTACATTGAGTTCTCTCTGTTGGCTTTGGCTGTTTGGAGTGTTTGCGGTGCATGTGCAACGATCAGTGCACATTTCCAGCATTGTGTAACACCTCAGTCATCTCTGGCCCTCTGTATTCTGACTTGTGCTGGAGTTTTAGGGTGTTTATTGAACCCAGATTCACATAAGGACAAACCTTTCTGGATCAAAAACGGAAATGGTTTGTTTTGACACTGCAAATGACTGTAAGACAAACAGTAGCTGCTAAACTCAAATAGAGGCGTCACCAAAGTCAGCCAAGACATCAAGTAAAGCGCACATCTAACACTATGCCATTCAGGATGTTTATTAGGTGTCTGCTCTCTCTCTCTCTCTCTCTCTCACACACACACACACACGCACAGCACAATACCTGCAGGTCTTCAGTCCTCTGAGCAGCCTGTGAGTCAGTCAGTGGATGTGGTTACTATAGTGACAGCATCAGTATTGACTATTTAGTGTGCAGAATGGGAGAGTGATACAGTAATAGGTTAAGGAGAGAATGAATGAGCACTATTCAGGGAATGAAACAGATGGAATGCAAAGAGAGGAAAGGCCGGCCTAAAATAAACACATACATACATCTTCAGCCTACACAACCAGATAAGGAAGCGCATGCAAGTTTACAAGGACTCCCATTGGCATGGGGCCAGAGAAAAAACAGATTCAGGGATAACAAAGATGATTAATTGTAAATTGTAAAGAGATCCCTGCATTATGTGCAAGTGTCAATTCTTCTTTTGACCACCAGAGGGTGTGTTGTACTTTTGGATACAGCCATTATGATCAAGAGAACGAATAAACCAGCAGTCTTTATTTACATTGTCATATGCTTAAATAACAATTTGTCACATTACAAGCTGAGCGAAGAGACCATCACTATGCTTCTCCTTCTCAAAATAACATCTGTTTTATGGGTAGAGCACATTCATCTTTTTTTCTCTAGTATTGATGTTTTCAAGTATCTACATATCTTGGCTAAGATATGTTGGCTTGTCTCACTCAAATGTAGATGCCTTTGCATGTGTGTGTGTGGTGTTGAATGGGGTTATTTATTTGCAAGCAGTTCTCCGTGGGAATTCTGGGATGTTTTTTGGTAATAAATCTCTTTGGATTGCTCATACGGCTCTAACTGAATGCACAAGAGAGACTGAATCATATATATATATATATATATTCATGTATATTAATTCATGTATCTGTCTAACTTTGCAAAATGTTTTGCTTTCAAAGTGTTTTTCCTAATTTACATGTGCCCATCCCATTTAAGTGCCCTCTAGAGGGAGTGGTGTACTCGTCTGTAGACTCAATATGATTTTAGTAATGGCCCGTATTTAAAATTAATCACATTGACATTTTCTCATTCTGGTTGCATAGAAATCAGTTCATTATCTTACTACAAAGCTCCTCCACCCGTGTAATCATGGTGATTATCTTTCCCAGTGCTCAGACGAGTTAAAGCATGTCCTGAATTCAAAATATCAGTCTATCCGCATGATCTGCAAACGAGGACTGAATGACTCAAAGGGATATAGAACAACATGTTAAGAACAGGTTTAGGAGTAACAATATAGAGCGATTATAAATCCTGAGACAGAATGAAGTCCAACTGGTTATGAAGCCAAAATATAGTCATTGAACTCGTTAGATATTAGCTTCTCATAATGAAGTCAGCATTCAAAGTTAAGTCAGCAGCGTACAGTCAGCTCCTTTATTGCAGAATATACCTCAACAGGATGATCGGGAACAGGATATAAAATATTACTAAATTATTTCAACCCCAATCAATATTTTATGTCCTTATATCCTGTCAGTATTTTTTTATTATTTATAGATGTATTCCACCAAGAAAAAAAATTGTCCAAAGCAATCAGCTTAAAAACAAAACGAACACTGCAATAATACTACAGTAATATACTTAGTCAATTTTTGATGAAAGCATAGGCTATATCTTTTTATTCTGATTGAAAAACATCATGGACAAATATTGCTCAAATATTGGGTTCACCACCTGTACACCCCTGTTCTTTGGCCCTCAAAAGAAACTAGTTTACTAGTTTAAGGGTCATGAAACTAGTTTAAAGGATCATGAACCCCCTGAGTATTATGGACAGGAACAAAGTCTGCTGAGTGTACACTCTTAAGAAACATGTATTTGCACATACTTGCTTTTTATATTCAGTAGGCTACTTTTTGTCTGACAATAATACTGAAAGTGAAAGTTTCTCTGATTCACTGTAGTATGAAATGGTGCTATTCATGGCTAATTTAACACCAACTGCTTAGGTTCGAATCTGGAAAGATATTCTGATCTGTCTGGTCTAATCTAATCTTAGTTCCTTAATTTTTTTCACCTTTTCTCTCAGGACAAGGTGAAACCTGTGAAAGTCTCTAAGAAGCCAGTGGCTGCAGGAGAGGAAAGAGAGCAGGTGCTGAGTGAAGGAGGAGAGGAAGAGCATGGCTCTGAGGAGGAAGTTGAGATTGAGGAAATCATAGAGGAATCTCGTGCTGAGCGCATCAAACGCAGCAGCCTCCAGAAGGTGGACAAGCTGAAGATGGCTTTCAGCAAGGAGCAGATGGAGAAGACCAGACAGAAAACCAAGGAGAACCTGGAGAAAACCCGACTGAGAACTAAAGAGAACCTGGAGAAGACACGTCAGAGAACCCGAGAGAACCTTGAGAAGACCAAGACGACCCTGGGCAAGAAGATGGGTAAGCTAGGAACAAAGATGACGCCTAACACCGAACGCCGCGAGAAGATCCGCAGCTCTAGAGAGAAGATGAAGAAGTCACTGAATCCTGACCACCCCGTCTACGCCCGCTCCAAATCAACCACCTACCGCGTACCGCCCTTCACCTTCCACGTCAAGAAGGTCCGTGAAGGTGAGATCGAACCCACACCAGAACCAGAGGAAGAGGAGGAGCAGGTGGAGCAGAATGAGGAGGTCCAGGAGGGTCTTGCAGTGCAGGAAGGAGGTCTAGTGTCAAGGGTGGAGGAAGGTGAACTGGTCAATCTTGACAGCCCGGAGATAGAGGCCTTATTAGAGGCAGCTGATCAATCACGGCTGGTGTTCCAGGAGACGGTGAGGCCAAGGGAGAAGGCCGGCCAATAAGTCCAACATGCTGAGCCCTGGGAAAAGCTCAACAAGGAAAAATAACGTGGAGGTCTGGAGGTAAATAAGGCTAAAAGGATGTAGGGAACTGAGATGTGCTTGAGGACGGATTAAAGGAGTTGACTGGACCTTTGGCTGAACATTTAGTTTGTTTGTTTGATTTTTTCTTATTATCTTCTCAACCCCAAGGTTGATTTTTTTGTTTTTTTTGTTCAGTTGTCAATTTTTAAATCAACTAATAGTTAATTTTGTGTCTAGAACTGAATAATACTCAGAAAAGATCAAATACTTTTTATTGTGATTACCAACACTTACTCTTTTAAAATCTTTAAAAAAAAGAATGTTATAGTATTTTCAGAAAAGGTGGATGTGAGGAGGTTTGCACTCCACAAGAATATTTTCATAAACACTCTCATGGCATTTAATTCCTATTAGACATTTAATATTAACTCGTTCATTTGTTATCAAGGCTACCCGTTGCAACTGGATATTGCCAATATATATTTATATTAAAGTGCCTATATTTAATGAACACCTTGTGTTCTTTGTACTATCATGTGATGTGATGGCTGCTGATTTCAACAGTACAAATTAATAGCAGGCCTTATGCATCTTGTAGAACATCTGGGCTTTGTTTTAATGCCATGAATGAACTGTTGGAAGCTGTTGAAAGTGAAAACTTTAAGGTGCTAGAGAGTATGTTGTCTGACAGAAATATTGTTGTGAGGGAAAGTGAATTGCGAAATATTCTAATTGAAAAAAAGGGAAAGGAAGTAATAATTGCAAATAACTTCTGCTGACTGAACTGTTTTCTTTTGAAACTGAAGGTTTGAATAATGATGTGATTATGGCTAATTGTTTTGTGGTCTAATCACTGGTTTAAATGTAATCCAAGCTCTGACTCAGACTTTATGTGAAATAATTGCTTCACTTGACGTCTACAGATGGCGTAATCTGATCTTTGATCTATGTATGTAAACAAGAAGCTCTTAAAAACCTATGAGATCAAGCTGAATATCAGTCTCTGCATAGGTTAATTTTCAGAATTCAATTTTATTCATTCTGAGATAAATTCATTTGACTGTTTACCTTGTTTGTACATATACACTTTAACATGCTCAAAGTAAGATTATCATCTTATTGTCATATACACATGAATACACTATTAGGTGAACAGGGACCTACTCAATGGAAAAGTAGTGCTGATATAATAGTAATTGTATAGTCTGATGATATAATAGTCACTGAAATTGAACTGTCTGTACAACTGTAGTGGATTGTAGTGAATGTGACCGAATAGATGAAAATAAAACAAAATAAAATCACACAGGTACAGTGCTATCAATTTACCGTCTCAGTGCTTACATGCATCTCAAATGACAACTACAGGTTTGTGCTCCTTGCAAACGGGCCTGACACTGAACACCAAATCCTGCACCTCTTCCTCTTCGATTGACCCTCTTGTCTGATGTATACCTGTGGCCGGGTGGTGGCTGTGTTTTGTTTTTTTTATCTCACATCTTCCCATTGCCTCTGTAATATGGTTTTGAAGGTGCACGGGTGTACCCTCCAAGCACCTCTTCATATGTGGCATGACAAGCTCTTTGACCAGCTCCTTGATGAATAGCTGTCATGCATTGGTCACACCAGCCATGTAATCAGAGTGTTGTGCAGTGAAGTTGGTGTAGGCCAGGGGTGGCCAACATCTGTCCTGGAGAGCACCTGTACCACAGCACCACGGGCCACCTCCATGTTCTCCGCTTAGCTGAGTAGGTGAAAACCATTTTTACTCAAACTGATTTATTAAAAAATAAATAAAAATGATGTAATGTGAAGATATGAGGTTTCTGCCTGACAGCAATGATATATACTTGCATATAATAACGTATTATTTTGACTTTTATTTTGTTAACCTAGCTAACATTAGCTAGCTAAAATAGAATAGGTCAACAACAAGCTAGCTAATAGTATTGGACATGTTTCTCTGTCTCATTAGTAATAGATTTCAAGGTCCTCAGCCTAACAGTCAAATATTATATCCAGTTATCTTTCACAATATATCAAATATTTTCTGTGGTAATAAATTATAAAATAAGACTAAATGCATCAATTATATAAAAGCAGCAATGCTGAGTTGTGAAATGTGTGGCAGGTGAATAGTTTTCTGCAGTAAATGTTCCTACTTGCAAAAAAAAAAAGAAGCAAATAGCAAAGGTTTCTATATGGGTCATTTTTGACCCATGAGTGTAAAATTCATGTAGAAATACAAAAACGGTGTTTTTTATTAAGTAAAAAAAAGGGCAAATAAACAATGATTTGTGGAAGTCAAAACCAACATATTTAAAGACTATCTGGAATAATAAATGATAGAAAAACATTTCTTTCAGATATTCAGCAAAGAAACACTCATCCATATCTGAAATAACATAGGAAATGAATAAGGGTCATTTTAGACCCATGTTGTGCATTAGAGGGGTACAAAAAGGATTTTGAAAGAAAAAATAAAAATAAGGATTTGTGATGAACAAAAACAAGTTAATTGGGGAATTCCTGGAATTCTGAATGATGAAATAAATTATGAAAAAATAAACTCAGTCGGGTCACTTTAGACCCATGATGTTCATCAAAGGGTTAAAACAGGCGTTTAAAGGCTTTGAATACAATCAATCAATCAATCAACACAACAAGTGCTTTTGGTACAGATAAATAGAAAACCTTATTAAATATATATTACAAGAGGTCAGTTATATAATGCAGCAATTCTCATATCTTCAGACCAGAGATTAATACATTTAGAAGGGAATCCATAAGTTAACTTTAATGTTTTAAAATCACCCAAATACATTCTTATTAATGTAATGAAGTACTACTCTAAAAGAAAAAGCTTGTTTTCTAAAGACAGATGCCATGTTTGGACAGTAATAATAAGGCATGCTGGTTTTAGATTGCTCTCTGTGCTTTTTTTGCCTCTGCCTCTCTCTCTCCCTCTGCTTCTCCCCTCATCTTCTCTCTGTCTGTTCTCTGTCCTTGGTGGTGTCGTGTTGGTCGTATGAGGGAATACATTAAATAATTAATGTGAGGAATCTGATTACGGAGAGTGCTTTCCAAAAGGGGAGCAGAAGACAGCAGAACAAAAAAGAAAGAGGCTGGGGAATAAACATAGCACTACACACACACACACACAATATTATATATCAGCAATTTTTAATGATTATGTATATGATGTAGCATTTTACATTATGTAAAGAGTATCTGAGCCTTATTTCACAATGTTTTACTTGTTAACACCTCTGATAAGATTCACTTTCTTGATATCTTAATCAGACAGATAACAGTCTCTTTGGATCAGATATGTCGATATTGTTCATTGCAAGAAAACTGTTTGCAATATAAATGATGTATGAGATGCAGTATGGACTGGTCTCTGCACCACAAACATGCACCGCTGCACATCTGTGTTTTCCATCAGTGTCTCAGGAGAACAGATGGTCTTTTTTGCCTCTGCCTCTCTCTCTCCCTCTGCTTCTCCCCTCATCTTCTCTCTGTCTGTTCTCTGTCCTTGGTGGTGTCGTGTTGGTCGTATGAGGGAATACATTAAATAATTAATGTGAGGAATCTGATTAAGGAGAGTGCTTTCCAAAAGGGGAGCAGAAGACAGCAGAACAAAAAAGAAAGAGGCTGGGGAATAAACATAGCACTACACACACACACACACAATATTATATATCAGCAATTTTTAATGATTATGTATATGATGTAGCATTTTACATTATGTAAAGAGTATCTGAGCCTTATTTCACAATGTTTTACTTGTTAACACCTCTGATAAGATTCACTTTCTTGATATCTTAATCAGACAGATAACAGTCTCTTTGGATCAGATATGTCGATATTGTTCATTGCAAGAAAACTGTTTGCAATATAAATGATGTATGAGATGCAGTATGGACTGGTCTCTGCACCACAAACATGCACCGCTGCACATCTGTGTTTTCCATCAGTGTCTCAGGAGAACAGATGGTCGTGTATTTGCAGAAAGCAGCAGGAAGAACAAACTAGAACCCACTGAGCTGATGTTTATCTGCATTTTCTCTTTACTGTATAAGCTATATGTGAACTTCCTACCAGGACAAATGTGGAAACAAAAATAGGCGAGGCTTGTAATGACAGGGAAGATTGTGTGCATGAGTTCTGTTTTGTGTGAACAAATAAAACTAGTAAATATGTGGGAGGTGCATACATTGTGTGACTTTTCCGAATTACTTCACTTACCAATATCAGATGAAGTCAAACAGTTTGTAGGTGTAAATGCAAATTTAAATCATTCGTATTTTGTTCCTGATTGCTCATTCTACAGCTGTGTGGATAAGTGCGTAAATAAACAGATGACGGGTAAGACGTGACATAACTGAGGATGTTTAAAATGTAAGTCATTGTAGAATAACCAGATCAAATGCTCTGAATGTTTGGGGATTTTAATTGCGCCAGTGTGACATGGCATCTGTATTGACTAGCGAGAAATGACAGTAAATACATGTTCATTATTTCCTTGTTCTTTATTCTGCTTCCATCATCATTGTCGTCTTCTGCAAAGGTTAATGTAGCATAACAAAGCATAAGTTTGTATTTTTAAATTAAAACTTGAAGTGCTATATTTAGTGAGCAACAGGCCTATTTGCAGCAGGTCTCTTAACAGATCTGTGCAAGTGTAAAAAGTATTCTATGAAAGATATAACTCATACAACAATGAAAATTCTGTCATTATTTAATGAAAGAGTGAAATGTTCACATTATTCACTGCATATGTTTTTATATTCTTAACCCAAGTGAGATTTTCTCTTAAGAACAAACAGACACAACATTCTTTCACAGTAAAAGCACGTGCATGTGTGCATGAGACCTTAATTTCAGTATTAATACAACACGTGATGTGTAATTTCCAGAACCATTTCTTGACACAGCATCAGATATGAATGTGTTTTGCATCAGTTTCTTTCTGCCATTAAAGACAGCACTGAGAGACCAAAAAAAAAAGTGAGAGCCTAATGAACTTGGACCGGAACATCTGGACTGTACAAAACATCCTTTGACGTTTCCTTAGAAGCCCATGTGTTATATGCAAAGAGATGTAAACATGACCTGTTTTTATACTTCAAGGAAATATGGTTGGGAGGTTCTGTTAAAAAAAAAGAAATCCTATCTGATAATGGTACAAATACAATGGAGCATTGTGTTAAAGATTAGTTTGCATCAATCAAAGACAAAGTTCAGTCAAAATGTGTGAGCGAGAAAAACAGATTAACCTGAATTTGATACAAACACATCAGAGCTGCTCAATCATGACCTCAATTTGTAAGCGAACCAGAGGTTTCCTTTGGGAATTTCAGAGGGTTTTTAAAAAGATTTTTTGATTTCTGAGAAAAAAGGACTGTGGTTAGCATTACTTGAAGAAACTTTCGTTTTTTGTTCTATAAATTACAGGCAGTCACACCTAAAACATTAATTTTGAAACCACTGCTATACAAAAAACCCATTTGTAATTCCTTAACCCATGAATGTAAAACAGCTAATTCTATTCCAGTCTCTAGTCTCCATCTCTAGTGACAAAACTATAGTCCAGTCAAGAAACTTTGATAATTTGATATTTGTTTGTTGAGCCACTTGCTGCAATGCATTTTTCATTCTTCAATAAAAAAATAAGTGTATTAATACTTATATACGTAATAATTTGCATGTATGTACAGAACTTTGGTCC